ATCGACTTCGTAGAGTCGTGACCAGGAGAGCCAATGCGGTGGGAAAAGAAAATCCAAAGTCCGGCTTCTTCGACTGGTCGAGTCGTGAATTCATGGAACACCAGCGTGGTTTCAAGCCTCATTGCAAAATGAAATGTTCATAAGACCATGGCAGCATTATACACAGCTGGTGATGGTCCAAACCCCAAAGCACCAACCAGGATGGCAGGAATCAGGTCTCGCCACGGACCTCGTGCGAATGGTTGCGACGCTTCCAAAAAGCAAGTCGAAGTCGACTTTTCCGCTTAGGAAGTTTGCGAGAACCATTAGTGTCATCCGCTTGTGGAGTTTCATGTTTGATGCTCTCGCCAGTGGTCGTCGAATGGGTCGTGCTGCGGGTTCCGTGGGCTCTCAGCCTGGAGAAGTCTTTGTTGGCACCATCTTCAGATCGAGTTTGACCTCGACCGAGAATAGAGCTACGACCGGGGCTATAACTGCCTGCGGGCTCTGAGACACCTGAAGGGAACGCGTCCGCTGTGCTTGGACGTGTGCTATTGTCGTCAGGTCCTCCAAGATCACTTTGCCCAGCACTTTCCCCGGAGACTCGCTTTTCATCTCCACTATCCACAGCCAAAAAGCTCGAGGCATTAGTTGCGGGAGAGATTGGGGTCATGGTGTTGCTGTAGGTGCTTTGCGTCCGTGTGCAACTATTGCGGTTAGAGCCTGTGCGAGCAGACGAGCTGTGGTGCGCATGGTGGCGTTGGGACCCCCGCTGAGAGCCTTGTGGAAGGCCTTGGCGCGAGCTGCTTGGTCTCTCGGCAGCCCCAGGCGCATGATCATGCCCCACTGATCCTGATGAAGTCCCACCACCGAAGGCCGAGTTTGCGTACAAGACCGCGGCTAGAACAGCTGGATCCTCAGAACTAGGGTTTGCTTGTGCGAGAGGGCCATGTAGCTGCGTCGAAATAGATCCACGGGCAGACTCCGGGATCCCTGGGATGGAGAAACAAGAAAGCTCCGGCACGGCACTAGAAGACTTCCGAGATGACATTTCAGCCGCCGGCAGAAGGGGACTTCCTGTGATCTCAATCTGAGGACCTGTGGTATCGGGCGTCACAACCGGTTGAATGTTGTTTTCGTTGTATGCACCAGAGTCTGAACTCGTGGGAGATTGGACTCTATCAGCTGCGCCATCTCCTGAATCGGGGAGCAGCTTTTCATCAGCTGGAGGGCTATGGGAGCGAGGCGAAACAGTGATCTCGGGCCGTTTTTCGATCGGTAGACCTTGCTTCCTCAGATCCTCATTAGCAAGTTCTTGCCACTGTGCCTGATTGCGACGGATATGGTCTGTAGTGAACTGCAACTGCGGCAGAAGATCGGAAATGCCTTCAAAGAGCGGCAGGGCGAATATTGACATGAATCCAATTTGGCCAGTAGCCAGTTTGTAGATATTCCCTAATTCGGGTGGACCGCCAAACAGCGCAGTTTCCATCCCAACTTCCCTTTCCATCTCGCCCTGATTAGCGAATTCCTCCTGCAGGATTTGCGTCCACTTCTTTGCAACTTTCCACGGTCGAGCCACGTTACTGATATCGGCACATTTGATCAATAACCCACAAACGAGAGTCTTGTACATGTCGACATCTTGCGGCTTCCAGCCATCAACAGATCGGTTGTTTTCGGAAAACTTTTCTTGAAATGAGCCCATTCGCTGCATGAACTTCTGGTGCACACCCATGTCTGTGGCCAGGATAGAGCTGATAAGGAGCTTGCGCAGCTGCTTGTCCTTGAATGCTGCAGGCCAGTGTCGACGCAAAATCTGGGAGAAGGCGGCGCAGTGGAACGCCTCCAAGACGGAATTGTCGTTGTAGAGTTGGGCAAGAGGTGCGTTGAGTTTGACGAGGAAAAAGTTGTTGACACCTGGATGGCCAACGTCATGGCCAATGGCTGAAATAAGAAGGGTGAGGGCGTCGAAGGGCGTAAGAAGGGAGGTGATGGGAGTTTCGGGGGCAGAATCTTGACCAATAGGTGCATACGGAGGCAAAGCACCAATGTGCAACAGGAAGCAAAACACAGATTGCAGCACATCGATCGCATGGCGGAAATTGTGGTAAAGCACGAAAGAGTTATAGGCGGCGCGACAGGCGAGAAGGAAAGTTTGCAATTCATCAGAAGTCAACCGCCAATTATCCAGCCCCGGCATGGTGAAAGCATGCTGTATCATCTCACAGGCACCAAAGACCAGTTCATCCTCAGTAAAGTCGTGAGCGCAGAACTTCCAGCTGCCGACCTGCTGTTTGATAAAAGGGATACGCGCAGGGTCAATGTTGAGATCCTGCTCCTGGAATTCATCGTGTATGACTTCTTCTGGGTTGCAAATTCCTTTCATGAGCTTTGAGACCATTGCTTCTCTTAGATAAGAATATGGCTGCTCATCATGCATACCAACCCATGAAAGCTTCCGTTGCTTTCTCCGTGCGAGAAATCGGGACATCTCTCTTTGGGCCGCTTTACGGGTACGGTAGGCATGAACCACGAGCCCTTGAATCTGCGAGCGATCTAGCGGAGTTGTCAAGACATCCACAGCACCGGCATCAAGACAGCGGGCAATCTGCTTGTGCTCCACTTTCAGAGGTCCTTCAGAAGGATGACTGGTAGGAGGGGTAACCACATTGTCGCTGGTTACATCGGGAGTCGGAAGACGCAAAATAGCAATGGGGATGACCAAATTTGGTCCCTCTTGGGCTTGAATATCGTTTGAGACACCTGATAGAAGTGAGAGGCCGCGTGCTTCGTCGGACTGGGTTGAAAATGTGAAAGTGCGGTGGATGGAGCCCGGGGATGGAGGAGCGGTGTCTGTCCACGAGGCGCGACTGGCTTTTCGGCGAGCTATGTTCGACTCTTCGCCGCTGAAGTCCACTTCGAGGAATGCGAAAATCGGGTTACACTCACTGCCCGACCGGTCGCTGAGCTCTGCCAGCGTAGTGGCAAAAGAGGAACCGCTGTGGCAGAGATAGACTGCGAAAACGGGAGGAATTAGTCAATGATCAAACGCAGCGCAGGCTGCGAAGCATACCTTGTTTGCACACTTCTAACAACCGCTCCACATCCGCCTGCAGGGCATCCGGTTCGTCGGGGGTTGTGAAGGAACCCGCAGACGATATCGTTAGTTCATCGATGGAATTTCTGCGCACCCATCTCTCCGACCGCACTCGGTCGTCAAGGTAGAGGCCCGCGCAATCCACGCGGTCAAACATGGTGTCAGAAGGTTAAGAACGACCCCGATCAGGCTATGTTGCCGGAATCACAAGACCGACAAGTACTCAATCGGAGCGAAGAAAAGGAAAATGAGTCGGTCGGAACGGTCCAGACTCGCATATGGCTTGAAATGACGAAGACCGAGGCGTTCGGCTGGGGGGGTGATGGGAGGTCCGAGTGACGAGAGCGGTTTTGAGAGGGAAGGGGGGAAAGAAAACGAGCGGCGAGGTTGGGAGAGTTAAAGTGAGATCGGGAGAGATCCGACTGAATCGGCACAAAGAAAGTCGGGAAAAGGAATGGCAGTCGGCAAGGAAGCTCTCAGTTCACCCGAATGGAACAATGGAGTTGTTTCCTGCAGCGAGGCAGTCCGAGTCGCGTAATGGGCTGGAGGTTCCGAGACACCCCCAAAAGCCTAGACTTGTCGCACTAGACAGCGCAACCCACTTTTTCCACCCCGGAGTCGGATTCGGATGGGATGAAAGAGTCGAGGATGAAGGGGGTTTCAATTGCCGTGAAAGAAAAGGGAGGGAGACGTCAGTTCCGCATGGCCGTGTAATTTGTGTAGCGTGTAGCGGTGAGAACAAAGAAAAGAAAAAGGAAATGAAGAATATAAAAGTAGAAGAAGTTGAAGAGCAAAAACAGCCAAAGCTGAGGAGGGGCGAACACGGGGAAGGGGCTTCTTTCCTCCTTCCAGAAGGCCTTGGGGCGGGACGGGATGATCCTTCAAGTAATCTTAGGTTACGTTCATACCGAGGTGGTTATGATTTATTATATATCTATTACTTTGTTTTCTATTATTGACTGATAGGTATCAAATTAATATAATATATCTTTCCTTTACTGTCTTTTTTTTTTTCACCCATCTCTCTAGCAGAGCCTCCGTAACCAGTGGACCCAATGACGCCTCTCTTTTTTTTTTTTTCTAGAAGGTCTTAGTCAGCGCGGATTCTGTAACACAACCTTTTGCCTTTTTGCCCAGGCGTATTGCACCTGGGCACAGGCTATGCAAGATATTACATATAACATATATATTACTATATACGTGAATTTATGCCAAGTATTTTAAAATAGTTTACAATATTATACAATATTATATACAATATTATATACAATATTATATACAATATTTTTATAGTAATTATATAAATACACTGCAGACAAGAAAAAGCAAAAGAGTGGAACGTTTGGGCCTATTTGGGGCCAAAATCTCAACGGAACAACTAGATAATCCGAGGTGATCTCACTTTTGACTTTTTCTCCACTTGGATCTGCACTGCATTTTAACTTGACACTGTGTTGTTTAAATACATCCCGTTTCACAAAAAATTGTATAAAACCGTTGATATCTTTCAGAGTTTACCTTAAAACTACTTAGATTAAACCAGACATTACATACGAAAAGATGGGGAAAGGGAATATCTAGAAAGAATCCAAACCATGCAAACATTGACGCCACCTTTATATGTGGACATATGGTCCATAGATGGCCCCGGGGCTTTAGGGCTCCAGGCTATGGCTTGTGCTCACCTAATTTCCTTGTTTACGCTGATTGCTTTGATTGGGAGGGGCTCCCGACCAATCACCGAAACCAAACAGGGATACCTGCATGAGGTGGTATTTTCAGACTTCTACAGGTTCTAGTCGCGTATACTACTGTACTTGGCATGCAAGCCAATTCTGTATTCTGCAAATGACAAGAGTGGGGTTTTTACGTCGATCATTTGGACTATTGGATTATGTACATAAAACATATTTATATGTACCTACTCAAAAACACAAATAATCTTCCCCTTAGTAGTGTTACTCTCAAGTAACTTATGCGCCTCCTCAATCTTCTCAAATGGGAACACCTTCTCGACGAAAACCTTAAACGTCCCATCACAGAACCGAGGTAACGCATGCTCAACAAGCGTATCCCGCAATTTACGCTGGTACTCAAGATCCCGACTGCGCAGCGTACTGCCCTCAATCCGCACACGCTTATACAACAACGGCGCAATATTAACACCATCAGGCAGCTTACCACCACCCATAAGACCCAACAGCACGATACGGCTATCGCGCGCCGCAACGTCCAGATTACCCTGGAAATACGTCGCACCGATGAAGTCAACAGTCAAATCAACGCCCTCACCAGAGGTCGCAGCCTGGATCTCCTTCGCCCAGTCCTGCGTCTTGTAATTGAAGGCTTTTGTAACGCCAAGTTCTTTCTCGAGGAAATCGATTTTCTCCTGCGAACCCGCCGTTGCATAGATAGCTTTCGCGCCGGCGTCTTTGGCGAGCTGGATTCCCGAGATCGAAACTGAGGATGCACCTGCGTGCCAGAGGACGCTTTTGCCAGATTTGAATTCGCCAATTAGGAACAGTGCCTGTGAGGCTGTGATCCAGGTCTGTGGGTGGGTTAGCGATGGTTACTTTTGTGATTGTAATCTACACACCTCCGGAACTCCGGCTGCCTCTTCCCAGGATAGCTGTTTGGGCTTGTGCACGAGCATGTGAGTGGAGACGCAGATGTACTCTGCGTAGGCGCCACCGTAGGCCAGTCCGAGTACTTCATCGCCGATCTTGAAGTCTTCGTGGCCGTCTGGTCCGAAGCTCTCGATCACGCCGGAGAACTCCACGCCCATGGTTGGGGGCGCTTGCGGTGGGAGGGGGTATAGGCCCTCGCGCTGGAGTAGGTCCATGCGGTTCAGGCCGAAGGCTCGGACCTTGATTATGGCTTGGCCTTCTGTAGCGGTGGGCTTGGCGATCTGGTCAATGAAGAGACTTGTTGCGGGGCCTTTGCCGCCTTTGATACCTGAGGATTGTTAGTTTTAGGGTTGACATCTTATGGAGTGTTTGAGGTGGGATCGTAAGATGGTTGATAATGGTTCATGTCGGTATGTCTCTCCATGCTTCCCAATGATGTAGATGATATCAGGTGGGGGATGTTCCTCAACCCCGCGTTCACTTACCGATAGCTCGCATGGTCTCGCTCATCTTGGGTGATATGGACAGTCTTCAATGTATTTTATTCAGATATTTGCAGAAGTTACTTTATTTATATTCTAACATCCAGTTATGTCGAGCTGACCTCATTCAGGTGCCGGGCGGCACCTGCCCGCACCTTGTTCGGCATTTGTCAGCATCGCCAGCTCCCGAGGTCCACATACGTTGAGAGGGTTTATAATCCATGCCGGACAACCGAGTGGATGTAGGGTTGAAAAATCAGATGTAGATCGTAGCAATGATAATAAATTCATCTAGCAGGAAATAATGGGTAATGGTAATATCATAAAGTGGCCAGTCCTACTCCATGCAATCCATGATTTTCGACCATATCAAGCCCCCCAACCGCTCCATAGCAGACTCCACGGCTTTTCCCAGGTGCCGTAATTCAAGACGCCAGAAAAACAAGGACATAAGAAAGAAACCATAAAATGGGAAAGATGGTGGCCGACAGGTGGATCTACCGGCTAGAAAGGCTCGGGATCTCCGTGGCTGAAATTGAAAGGAAAACAGAAAGAGAAAACACACCAGAAAGGAAAACCCGACCGCGGACACACTTTTGTTCATGGGATGCCGTGGCATGCATATGCAGTAGCAGTGAAAGCAAATAGGAAAGGACATAGGTCACTATCATACAACTCGATTATGAGCACGTGTGGGGATATCGTTATGAGAGAAGGTTCTTCAGCGATGGGCTTGCGCTCGCTCCGGTCCCGGCCGCTGTGCCATTTACTCCAGAGTGCCGACTGTTTGGTTGTCCGCCCAGCAGGGGAGGTGGTGTATCTTCCGGCCGAGTGGGAGGAGTAGCAGTAGGGCCCCGCGGGTCAATACGCGCCTGCGTCACTGGTGGTGAGTGAGAGGGAGCTCCTATCACACGCTCGACAGAGTACATTCGAGGAGGCGGGCCACCATTAAGAGCACTCAGCGTGTTCTGCGGTGAGCGGTTGATCGTCGTTGCTTGCACGATCGGAGGGGATGCAGATGCCGCATACGATCGTGGCGGTGGCTGTGACAGATGCGGCGAGCGGGCTGGCACAGGTCCATACGGGCTCTGATGAGTGGCATACGGCGGCGGTGGTCCCGACGGCCCAGCGCTGGTATAGTGTTGGGGCGGTGGTCCTGCGGGATGGGGTGGCGGGTAGTTATTCATGTGATGGGGAGGTGGTTGCGCCTGGGGATAGGGAGACGGCGACATGCCGTTGCGATGACCCACATCGGGGGTGATGCGTTGCTCATATGGCCCAGTGTATCCTGGTCCTGGGTGTCCGCTGGGTGGGTGAGAGGGAGGCATCGGGCGCCCGAGCACAGCGCCAGGGGGAGGGGGATGTGGGTGTTGGTGTGGATGCGGGTGGGGCAAAAATGTATGGCCTGCATGACCTGCATGGCTCGGATGACCTGCATGACCGGGAATTCGCGAAGTGGGTATCATGGGACGTTGAGCAGAATAGGGTGAAGGTCGTTGGTCCGGCGTAGGCTCTGGTACAGGCGGAGGCGGAGGAGGCGCCGGGTTTTTCAAGTGGCATTTATGACATTCGTATGCCAGTTCGCAAGAATCTCCATTGTGTTGGGGGAAGGCACCTGGAGGCGGATGATGAGGGTGTCCTGAACCATTGGCCATGGGAGGTCGTCGTCCAATGGCCCACCATCTGGGACTAAATCCGGTGGCACAGCGAACGCATTTGCGATTGGTCTCCACGCCAGGAACAGCCGGTCGCGGTGCAACATGATTGTCGGTATCGATGTCCATGGGATCTTCAGTCACCTCGTCCAAAACCGGTTGAACTTTCTGGGTATCCTTGGAAGCTGGCGTAGTAGTTGTCGAAGCCCGGCGGTTGGCATTTGTGGCTGGATGTGACGGGGCTCCAACAGAATGATGCATGTACGCCGCTTTGCGAACTGTTCCAGTAAGGGTAAGATCAGCCTGCTTGTAGGTCTGGGCGAACAACTGGAGAGCATTTAGATGGTCCTGGTTTGTCTGCTCGCCAATTTCGTGCAGATGAGTCTGCACGTTGTGATTTGGACAGTAAACAACAGGTGTCGCTGCTCCAATATCTTCGCCCAATCGGATAGATCGCATGCTGTCGCGGCGTGAGCTCTTGACTGGTGTTATATCGAAGCCGAACCGGTAGTGTGCTTGGAAAGCACAGCCCACGTGGAAGTGGGCATTGCAGCCAGCAAAGCTACATGGCACACATGCGCCCTTACTTGACTTACAGACCTTGCACGTCTCCCGCCACCGCTCCTTGGGAATAGATCCGAATCCTTCCGCTGGCTCAAGCTCCTCTGCGTCGCCGTACTTCAACTCCGGGGTCCACAACGTGCAAAGCACGTGGGCCCAGTTGTTGCCTGCAGTGCGCTTCAGGGGTTCCCGAGGACCGACAGGCTTGCCAACGGCCTCCTGTCGTTGGCGGTAGAGCTTGATTGCCTCGGCAACCATCTCCTTCTCCATACGCTCCTTTTCCTTGTCACGCTCAGTCTTCTTCCGAGAGTTGTTCTTAGGCGTCTCCATGAGCTCATGCTCGGTCCATGAGACTGGGCAAAGAACACACGTGTAGTTCGTAGAAATCGAGGGAGTGCGGTCGTTGGAGCACATATCACACAGCCATTTGTTGCTTGCGCGTGAATCCCGTACACCATAGCAATTGCGATGAACTGTAAGACGGCAATCACGACATGAAAGATGCTCTTCACCCGAAGGTTCAACTTGGTTGCAGATTGAACAAGGGAGAGTCTTGGCCTTTGGCGGATCGGGAACAATCGGCGGAGCTTCCACCACCTTCTCGGGGGCCGTCTTCTTTTTCGGCATAGGCTCGACAGATGTCGCGGCGGATGGTACAGGTGTGTCCTTAGCCTTCTTTTTCGTCGGGTCCACTTTTCCTTCCACTTTTGCTTCCACCTTTCCATCCATCAAGAGTCGAGGGTTTGTATCAAGCGGAATATTCATGGCAGTGGCTGTAGTTGCCGTGGCAGGGGTGATCGTGAACGGGGTTTCGGTAGCTACGATCAGTTGCGCGAGCATTTCCTCGTCGATGCGGCGTCGCCACGACTTGTTACCGCTGCTTGCAATTCTTTTTGCAACCTCATCAACGTCCTCATATTGAATTCCGTACTTGCGCCATAGCAGAGCACAACGAAGACAAAGCGCAACTGTGAGCATAGGGCCTTTGTCCTTCTTGTTGGAGGGCTCGGATGGAATAACGGTGCCCGGTGGAACTAGGGGTGCACGGCGCCATTGTCGCGAATGGCGGGTGGAGCAGAATTTGCAATGGAATCCACGCTTCTGAACAATAGCTTTCTCGGAGTCAAAAGCAGAATCGTCATGATCATCGGCCACGTCGTCGACGAGCTTGGATGAAACAACGCTGTGGCGGCGTACTTCCTTCTTGCCACGTCTGCCTTCATAATTGCCCCAAATCTTTCGACCGCTGGGGGTTTTCTTCCACATGTAGTAGAAACGGACGATCTGATAGATATGGACAGTCTTGACGTGTTTCATGATGTTGCGCCATTCGGATCCATACTTGGCGACACCCTGTTCGAATAGCTTGAGCTCCTCCGGTCGAATGTGGGGCTCCTTAAGATCTTTGTATTTGTTGGTTTTCTTCAGCTTAGCAAGAGCAGCCTGAACATCGAAGTTCTCAGAGTATAGAAGTGCAAGTGCTCTGTCGAGGAAATTCGTGTTGTACTTTTCCACTCCAATACCGGGGGCCAGTTCCTTGGCTTGGCGCATGTAGTCGTCGATGAACTTTTCTCGGTCTTCCACGCTTAAATGAGAGCCTGGTGCATCATCTTCGCCGCGGGCAGGGATCTGATTGGGATCGGGCATTTTAAACTGAAGTTCGGCTGTGCGAACCTGCTTTCCGTTGATTGTGATTGGTTCATCCAGGCCACGATGCACGTAGCCCGCTGGCTCATCTTGAACCCACGGCGGTCGGTTTGCCCTCTCGCGCTTTGCAGCTTCCATTGCTGCCTGCGCATCCTTGGAGAGCTTGCCGTCCTTTTTACCACCGGGATTCTTTGATTTCTTCTTCGCATCAAGCGGCTTCACGTATTCAACCGCGCGGCCTGGCCAAGCAGGGACCAATGCCTGGTGTCGAGTTCCTAGACGTGAGCTGGCCCGGGGGTAAATTCGATCATCGTAGTCCAGAGCATCCTCCACGCGGCAGTGAATACCCAGGTATCGGTAAGGCCACATCTTAGCCTGTGCGATCTGTTCCACGGTTGCAGGCTGAGGCATCGAATCTTCCTCGGCTGCGGGAGTGCTAGCGGAGGTGCCGTTTTCTATACCATTCGCATGGATATGAGGATCTTCTTCCTCCTCTTCTTCCATAATCACATCTTCCCCATCTGTTCGGATGCTGCCAGTTAATGGTGTGTTGCGTGCCTCGAGTTTGCGTTCTTGAGCGCGACTGCAAGCGGCACAAGCCCAAGCAAAGCCTCGAGCCGGTTTCTTGGTCAAGGCGGGTCGTACACAGTGCATGTGATATGTTGAATTGCAAACTGCGCAGTCGACAGATTCGGAATTCGCGGCGTATAAACGGCATCGCTTGCACGTCTTAACAGCACCTGTCAATTCTTTCCCCTTGCCTATCTCGACAAGAATGAATTTCCAGCGTTCGTCGAGAACCTTCTTGACATTGCTCGGAACATTAATGATATCTTTAGTCGGAATGACATCGTAAAGGCGATGAATATATCGGTCGAACATTTTGTCGTACCAGAAACTATTCCTCGTCTTTTTATAACAACTAACATCATCAATCTCTGACACGTGTCGGATTTCACACTTGCCTCGTAATGAAGAAAGAGGGCAGGTGTCGGAGTGCATTGAAGCAAAAACAAACCGAGTATCAGGAGAATGGCGCTGGATATCTCGTGGACGATAGTACCAGTTGACTCTCATAGCCTCAATGAAGCCACCCGGCTTGGTTTTAGAAGGAAGAAATTCCATGATGCGAGCTAAGTAATATGGCTCACCCGGAGGTTCACAA